AAAAAAGGAAAATCACTTCATGTCTTCATTGGCACCCAATAGTGACTAACCCATTTACACCTCAGGGCCTACCCCTGAGTCAGTCATGCAGAAGCCACTCAGTTAAGAGTTAGATGAAAAGCAGTTTCCAAAAGAGGCTTAGGAGAGGGCATGGATGCCAGGTGAGAGATAAGATGAGACACGTTGAGGGAAGTGGCTGCCAGGAAATAACTTGAAATCCTGCTTGGCAGCCAAAGGGAACACTCATTAGTTCACTCTCTGTCTCTCTCTTTTTTGAAACATGATCTTGCTTTGTCACCCAGACTGGAATACGGTGGTGCGATCATGGCTCACTGCAGCTTCAACCTCCCAGGCTCAAGCAGTCCTCCCATCTCAGCCTCCTTTTTTTTTTTTTCTTCATGTTTCATTTTATTTTTATGCTAGTCAAGCATGGTTGTGTGGGGAGACAATGTTAATCAGCTTAGCAATAACCCACAACACTCAGACCAGCTCCATTTCAGCCTCCTGAGTAGCTGGGACTATAGGCATGTGCCACCATGCCTGGCTAGCCTTCATTAGCTCTGTCTTAGGCCCTTTCAGGGACAGTGGCAATGGGGTCATCTCTTATGGGGGACCTATCATTTAGAATTATATCTGCTTGGTAGTAACAAAGTCCTGTAATAAGAGTTGATTAAACAAATTATGGGGTCTATAGGAATCAGTGTGGTTAAGTTATGCTGCACGAACAAACTTCTCAAATCTCAGTGGCTTACTACAACAAAGGTGTTTTTTTGTTGTTGTTTTGTTGTTGTTTTTTTAAGAAGGGATCTCTATCACCTGGGCTAGAGTGCAGCACCATCATGGTTCACTGCAGCCTCAAACTCCTGGGCTCAAGCAGTCCTCCCGCCTCAGCCTCCTGAGTAGCTGGGACTACAGGCAGACACCACCTTGTCAGGCAAATTTCTCTAATTTTTGTAGAAATGAAGTCCCACTGAGCTGGGCACGGTGGCTCACGCCTGTAATCCCAGCACTGTGGAAAGCCGAGGCGAGTGGATCACCTGAGGTCAGGAGTTCGAGACCAGCCTGGCCAACATGGTGAAACCCCATTTCTACTAAAAATACAAAAAGCCAGGTGTGGTGGCACGCGCCTGTAATCCCAGCTACTCAGGAGGCTGAGATGGGAGAACCGCATGAACTTGGGAGGCGGAGGTTGCAGTGAGCCAAGATCGTGGCAGTGAGCCAAGATCATGCCACTGCACTCCAGGCTGGGTGACAGAGCAACTCCATCTCAGAAAAAAAAAAAGAAAAAAAAAGCCCCATTTCTACTAAAAATACAAAAAATTAGCCGAGTGTGGTGGTAGGTGCCTGTAATCCCAGCTACTCGGGAGGCTGAGACAGGAGAATCGCTTGAACCTGGGAGGCAGAGGTTGCAGTGAGCCGAGATCGTGCACTGCACTCCAGCCTAGGCAACAAGCGCGAAACTCCGTCTCGAAAAAAAAAATGAAGTCTCACTGTGTTGCCCAGGCTGGAACTCCTGGGCTCAATCAGTCGTCCTGCTTTGGCCTCCCAGAGTGCTGGGATTACAGGCATGAATCACTACACCTGACCCAAAGGTGTTTTTCTTGCTCACACTATGTCCTTTGCAGGTCATTTGTGGTCCTACTCTACAGTATCTTAATTGGGGTCTCAGGCTGAAGAAACTGTCCCTATTTGGAATATTGCTGTTCTTGCGGGAGGAGGAAAAGAGAAAGTGGAGTGAATCATCCGGTGGCTCTTGGTCAATTTTATATTTAGAAGAGGCCCATATCACTTTCACTGGCATTCTTTGACTGGAGCAAGTATCTAGCAAGCCTCAAGTCAATGGAGTGGGCATGTGAAATCCTCATGTGGAGGGAGGCAGCAGACATTCTGAACAGTAATACAGTCTATTACAGGGTTTATTTTCCCTCATATAGACCAAGTACAGAGGTTGGCAAACCAGCACTGGAATAGTAGTTCCACAGTCATCAGAAATGAGAGTCCTATCTCTCTCTCTTTCTTTCTTTTTTTTGAAAGTCTCATTCTATCACCCAAGCTAGAATGCAGTGGCATGGTCTCAGCTCACTGCAACTTCCACATCCCGGGTTCGAGGGATTCTCATGCCTCAGCCACCCAAGTAGCTGGAATTACAGAATTACAAGTGCGTGCCACCATACCCAGCTAATTTTTGCATTTTTAGTAGAGACAGGGTTTTGCCATGTTGACCAGGCTGGTCTCAAACACCTGACCTCAAATGATCCTCCCACCTTGGCCTCCAAAGTGTTGGAATTACAGGTGTGAGCTACCGTGTCTGGCCTATTTCTGCTCTGTCATCCTTAGCCTGTGGCTTCCATTGAAGGTGGCTGCCAGTGCCCCAGCCACCATTGCTACCATTCCTTATAGGAGGAAAAGGGAAGGGAGAAAGAGCAAAAAGCGTTCAGGTCTAAACTGAATCAACTCCCTTTATAAGGCCTTCCAGAAACCCCATTCAATGGCACCTTTTCATCACTGGTCACCCCCAACTGGAAAAGAGGCTGGGAATTGTGGTCTTTTAGCTGGGCATTTAATCAGCCTGAATAAATTTTGAGTTACGTTAGTAAGAAAGAAAAAAAGGACTTCTAGCAGTATATGCCACCCCATGCTCTGGACAAGATGACCAGCAAGACTAAAATAGGTTATACAAAGGGGAACATGGAGGTATAGCTCAGTGGTAGAGCATTTGACTGCATTGAAAGGGGAACACTTGCTGTCTGCTTAAGGTAGTTTTTTAGAAAGCAATATTGCCCATTATAAATGCTGCTATCCAGAGGAACAAGAGAAAGACCAATTAAGGAGATGTTTCTTAGGATATTGACTTTCTTCCTTTCCTCTTTGAGCTGCTGAATCCCGTTGATTGTCCCTTCCGTTTAAGGCACCATCCCAGCGGTCCCAAACAACACTAAAGCATTCATTGGCCAGAAGGTAGTCACATGGCCCCACCCAGCTGCAAAGGATCCTGGGAAATGTAGTCTTTTAGCAGGACACATTATGGCCTCAAAGAAAGTTGGAGTTATGTTAGTAAGGAAATGGCAGAGAGTAGATATGAGTAGTCCATTGGCAGATTCTGCCTGGGAGATGGTGGCAATAAGAATGGGGAATGCTGTTGCAATAGATCTCGTGTTTGTGTCCAGGAAGAATGGGGCCACTGAGAACATTGGGATCTTAGAGGGAAGCTGACTGCAGCAGCCAGACTCCCTGGCTGTGTGCCCTGGGGTTCTGCTCTCTGGGTGCCCTTCTCTGAGTCAGCCTTTCTGTGCTCTTTCGCCAGCTGCCTGCCCCCTCCACCTCCATCTGCCTTTGTCTGAGAAGTCTTGGCTCTCCCCATCTCCGTTCATCACATCCACCTCCTCCCCACTGGTAGCCTCTTTAGTTTCTTGTGTGTCCTTCTATGTGTATTAGTCTGTTCTCACACTACTATAAACAACTATCTGAGACTGGGTAATTCATAAAGGAAAGAGGTTTAATGGACTCACCATTCTGAATGGCTGGGGAGGCCTCAGGAAACTTACAATCATGGTGGAAGGCAAAGGGGAAGCAAACATTTTACATGGGGGCAGGAGAGAAAGAGAGCAAGAGGGGAACTGCCACTTTTAAACCATCAGATCTCATGAGAACTCACTCAGTATCATGGGAACAGCATGGGGGAAACATCCCCCATGACCAGTCACCTCCCATCATGTCCCTCCCTTGACACATGGGGATTACAGTTCAAGATGAGATTTGGATGGGGACACAGAGCCAAACCACATCACCATGGTTTCTTTATACGAATACCAGCAAATGTGAAAGACATTCTTATTTCCTTTTTTATTACACTAATAGTTTCCCATACTGCTTGTTACAAACTTGGTGGCTTAAAACAAGACAAATTATTTTCTAACAGTTCTGGAGGCCAGGAGTCCAAATCAGCTTTCCTGGGCCAAAACCAAGGTGTCGGCAGGGCTGTACTCCACCGGAGGTTCTGGGGGAGAGTCTCTTCTTTGCCTGTTCCGGTTCCTGGTGGCTGCAGGCAGTCCTTGGCTTGTGGCCACATCTCTCCAGGCTCTGCCTCCATGGTTGCATTGCCCTCTCTTCTTTTCTGTGGTAATATCTTCTCCTCCCTCTTATGAGGATACTTGTGGCATTTAGGGCCAACCCGGATGACCCAGGATAATCTCCTCATCTCAATATCCTTAACTTAGTCACATCTTTTGTCATATAAGGTAATATTCAGGCCTGGCATGGTAGTTCATGCCTGTAATTTCAGCACGTCGGGAGGCCAAGGTGGGAGGATTGCTTGAGCCCAGGAATTTGAGACCAGCCTGGGCAACAAGGCAAAACCCCATCTCTAAAAAATATATAGAAATTAGCCGGGCACGTGGCACATGCCTGTAGTCCCAGCTACTTGGGAGGCTGAGGTGGGAGGATTGCCTGATCCTGGGGAGTTTGATGCCGCAGGAACCGAGATCACGCCACTGCACTCCAACCTGGGTGACAGAGCAAAACCCTGTCTCTAAATAAATAAATAAAGTAATAAAGTAATAGTCACAGTTTCCAGGAATTAGGACACGGATAGCTTTTGGGGGCTACCACAATGACTAAAAGCTGAGATAATCTATTTAGAACTTTCCTTTTTTTCACATAATATGTGCCTGACAATAGTATGTCAGTTCACAGAGTGCCTCTACATTCTGTTTTATAGCTGCATCATATTCTTTTGTGTGGATATGCCTATGTTTATTTACCCTATCTCCTGTAGGAATTTTGTCCCTGATTCTCTAGTACTCATTAGTCTTTCTTTTCAACAAAGAGAGAGCAGGGGTGGAGTGCAGTGGCTCCTGCCTATAATCGCAGCACTTTGGGAGGCCAAGGTGGGAGGATCACTTCAGCCCAGGAGTTCGAGACCAGTCTGGACAACACAGTGAGACCTCTCTCTATCTAAAAAGAATTTTTAAATTAGCCAGGTGTGGTGGCACATGCCTATGGTCCCAGGTACTCGGGAGGCTGAAGTGGGAGGATCACTTGGGCCTAGCAGTTCAGGGATACAGTGAGCTGTGATCATGCCACTGCACTTTAGCTTGGGCAACAGAGCAAGACCCTGTCTCAAAAAAAAAA